CATGTAGAAATACACTACTGAAATGCCGAATTCTGGAAACGTCTCTTATTTTTTAAAGTACATGTATTTTCATAGTTAATATTTTCATTGTCACGTCTTTTTTGAAATTCTTTCTGTTAACTATATGTAGCTTACTTATTCGTTGAATGCAATACGCTAGTTAGACTACTTGGTTGGTTCTTTTTATCTAAGAGTAAGATGGATGGTACTATACTTCTTGAATACCTCGTTATCTCAAAGGTTTCGAGACGTTCAATGTAAAATACTTAAGAAATACCGTATAACGGGTATTTTCTGCGGTTGTCCAATTTTTGCGGAATTTTGCGGATAGGACAAATCCGCCAAAATTACAATCGCAAAATATTTTTCAATATTTCTTCAGATATATATTTTATACATGCAAGTATGATAAGTGGTGCGTATGTCCTCGTTAGCGAGAAAATTCGGGTGTCATCGAAATTCGAAGATTTTAGATATCAGGATTTTTCCAAAACATATTGAATTAAAACGTTGCTGTAAATAATAACAATTTAATAAGTTTATACAAAAACATCTTTTCTTGTACCTACTTCTTTATTTTATACGGATATACATGTACATGTAAATGACTAAAAGAGATTTCACAATTAATAGTCCAAACTCCGATAGCTGCAAACAACACATAGTAGCTTTTCCTTCTTTCTTTAACACTTTTTTCAATCTTGTGTTTTATCTGGAGACCATAGTTACTGCTTTTATACACAAAGTGGCTTGATTATCTCGTGAATTTCACACAATGCAGACGACTGACAGGATTAGTTACGCCTCAATGCACATGGCACCTGTGATTGTACACGGTCAACTTTAGGTTACTTGATTATGCAACTGTTTGTTTGAGCTTAAAATATAAACACCAGATTAATTTTGATTGCAATTAACTTTAAGTGTATTTTTTAGAATATGGCTTGGATGCATTAATTATCTATATATTAAAATATTTTAATAGATCGCACAAAACGTTTGTTACAATGTAGAATAAAGTTTTTTATTGATGTTTGGGTGGACCGATACTGCAATAATTCATTTCAATTGGGACTCAACATGATTTTACAAAGACTAACTGAAAGATAGTAGTTTAGTTAAGCTTAATAGCTTAATACCAGTTCTCATGCAACTTTGATCAATATGTCTCAATGAATTTATAAAACGTAAACATGGCAGCTATCTGATAATTCTTAGAGATTGGTGATCATACCCAGTAAATAATTTTTTGAGGCATAATGCAACCGCAGAAATTGAAAACGCAGAAATTAATTTTCTATCTTTTAGGGGTTAAATCGCAAAAATTTCCAACCGCAGAAAATACCCGTTATACGGTAAGCACTTTGGACTTTGGATTTCAAAAACACTTCGACCATTCCATGGTATTCGAGATACCAAAGTTCAACTGTATTTCGAAATATCCGAGGATCGAGATATCCAAGGTAAAATACTTAGGACATAAGCTCTTGGGACTTCAAAAGTACTTATACATATCCATGGTATTCGAGATATAGGTGTTCGAGATTCCGAAGTTCAACTGCATCTTCTTTTCTGCTTATTTCATTAAATTGATCGGGGGTGAAACACATATTACTGAAAAATCATTACTTTGTTTAAAATTGTAAACTTATCAATTGACCATCACAGATCAATTGAAAAATGCATTCTTTGGTACTTGTTATCGGTTTTCTTGTATTCAAGATATTGTTTGATCATAACAAAGCTCAATTCAAACCGATACTAGAGCCAGTGTTTCACTGTAGCTGTATTTTCACAATTTAGAAGGAAGGGATGGACTTCTCAAGAAAGAAAAATCGTCTATAAAGAATACCAATATCAATATATTCTTTTCATTTTATAAAAAAGTATTATGGGCTTGAAATCAATAAGATTTACCTTGAAATGCTTCACACAATTAAAATTTTAACAGGATTTTAAAGACATCATAGTCAATTGAGCAACATGAAAATTTGTCAATGATGTCATGCAATGTTCGTTAACGTTTAAAAACAATGGCTTTTTGAAATTCTTTAATAAATTGTAGCCCAATTTTGTATATAGAATCTTAAGGGATCGAGAACAAACATTCTTATCATGAAAGTTAAAACAACCATAAAACGCGTAGGGTGAGGGAAAAACCGGGAGAAAAAATAAAATTTTTATGACATTCTTCACAGGAACAATAAGCCCTATACCATGCTGTGCTCATATCCTAGGTTTCAATTTCACACACAAATGAGACTAATTTGATCATACAAATTTTTAAAGACCTTCCCACTCCTTGAAATCAAAAAGAAAAATTGTACAATAATATTTAACACGGAACCTTATCTCAAAATTGCTATTTTTGTGGTTCCTTGTTGCAGAACACAAGAAAACACGAAAATATATATCTGTATAAGATGAAGATAAATTACATTGATCAATCTCACTAATCCAGTAAACAAAACGAATCGTAAACAGAGCAAAAATACAGACCCCTGAAAACACCAGTGATGGGATCAGGTGCCTAGGAGCAGTAAGCATCCCCTGTCGACCGGTCACACCCGCAGTGAACCCTATATAATGATCAGGTAGACGGAATACTCCCTAGTCAAAATTAGTATAAAAGCAATGATCTAACAAACGGTATGATACATTCAAGACAAAATGCGACCCAACGATAGGATGTATTTACGAACAAGATCATTATAACGATCGCAGAATTTGCGAAAAGCTTACTCTAAACAGGGTTGTTGAAATCCTTGTAACATCAACTTATTTGTCAGTAGCGGTCCTCGGTTTAAAAATTGTTGGTATTCAGAGTATGCTCTTGCGTATGGAATCAGTTGGGAGACATAAACACCACTATATGCAGGTGATGTTGGGGTATTGCTAACATTAAAGGAAGCCGATAATTCAGATTCCGAGGAGTCGATAGGGGATTCCATTTTAGACGGTTCAGTGCTACATAGATAAGGGAAGTTGACGAAGGAGGAGCTGAAGTCATCCCGTTTGTCTTACAGTTTAGTTATTATTTCGCCATTATCATCTGCAGTATAAGTCAAAGTATTGTATAATGATTTGGCAGGATCATGCCAGGATGTCAGCAGATTCTGATCTGAATTTTACTAAAATAAACAAAATTTTGCAATGAAATACATCTTAAATTAATCATTTAAATTATAAAAGAAATTCAAGCACCATCACAAACAAAAGAAATTCAAGCAACATCACAAAAAAGGGGTGATCATTACAAAATCTGACGAAGTTTTAAAAATCTCTTTTGTTTTACAATACATTGTATATATTTTGATGACCAGTGCAGATGTATATCAATGGTATTTATTTCTCAGGAATAATTTTATTCGGAAGAAGCATGATGAAATAATGAATGATGGAAAAAAGGTGTTCTTATTTTAAACCTCGGCGGAAATCAGAGCTATTAAACAGACTTTCTAGAGGAAATGTGACCTCCTGCCAAGTTTAATGTCAGATATCTACAACAAAGCTTTATAAGGCACACAGAAACGATATTGGTAGATCCAGTTATCAACATTTATTTTGTGCATAATCGTTAAATAGACTTCGTTGGAACGTCTTATTATTTTCTGAATGTTGTAAACAAAGTTATCATTTTTGCAATCAATTTCAAACAAAACGTTTTCCGGGGTATACACACTATTATTCTAAAATCCAAAATGAATATAAAGTTTAAATACAGGTACCGTTAAAAGTGAATCTTTGAACATAAATTACCTTAATAGTTTAGCATTTATGGGTATTTACGTCAAAAGTTTTAAGGTCAATAAATTTCGAACCTTTACCTACAAATATTTACATTTTACTTCTTTGTAGTTATGCCGAGTACACGCAGTGATCTTATTAATAATAATGATTAAATAACAAATATGCTTGTCTGTATATCATTCTTTTAGTGATAAGGATTTTTATGTTTGTTTTTAAAATACTGATCGATACCCCCCTCCCCTCTGAGAGAGAGAGAGAGAGAGTTTGAGAGAGAGAGAGTTTTCAGTGACAAGTAACAATTAGTTTCACAAATTTCACACGTATGTATTTTCTCCTATACACTTTAATTTGAATAATTTCATCAGTTTCTAATATAAGTTGAATATGTTGTTGAAACACTTTAATTGCTTGTTAAATAACAAATCAGTTTTTTAAACATAACAATTCACAAAACAAATTAAGCAACGGTTAGCTATTTTAAAATGTTTTTCTATTCTGATCGTCCACTTATATATTTTTTTAATCATTTAAATAACACTGTTCAGAACTCTGGCTCAACAATCGTAAGTAGAAAAGAACGGATCACGGCAATTATGTGTTAGTGGGCTAAGGACCTCCAAAAGATTAGATTGAAATGCCTTGAAAAAAAATTGATTACACCCAATCGATATTACCCACAATATTGCTTATCTGATTTTGAAAGTTCTGATATAGGACTCACATACTGAATTTCTAGTGTGTAAATTACAACATGATTATAAAAAAGTCACACTTAGATTACAGTACGTTAACGAATACCCTAAAAACTTAAAGTAACCACGAGTAATCTGTGAATCAGAGGTACTTATTGTATTTTTTACCTCGATAGACTTTTTAAGCAATTTTAGGCACTGACAAATATTAATAATTGATTTGTACATATATTCTCCAAATTTTCTTGTAAAAAGTTGTAGTTTCTTTTCATTTAAAAGATTTTATTTTTTATAACTCTGATTACGCATACATTTTTATATATAATAAATGAAATTATTTATTTTCTAATTCATTTACAGAATCAAAAATTATTCATTTTTAACCTTCTTTTTCAAAAATTTACTTTACTTAAAGTAATGCCTTCCTAAAGGCATCTTGGGATATGGTACTGGCCCACCAAATGAAAATAAAATAACGTTAAAAAACTAAAGCACGGAGAGGATACAGTTAAATTAATTATGTGGACATTTAAATATTCATTCTATAGGACAACTCACCCAGCCATGGTAGGGAATTCAACAAGGTCTGAATGTTCTAACTTATCAGATTCAGACAAAACGGTGTCTGAACCAGCATATTCAATATCAATGTTCTGGAAAATTGCAGCTTGCCCTGTACTACTTCCTACAGCATCGTATTGCATCTGAATAGACGCATATCCTTTCCTATATGTTGTATAAGCTGGTTGCCAAACCTTGTAAACCTCATATGGAAAACTGGCGCCCTTACCACGAATATCTATAGCATTTGTACCACACCATATCATTGTCACCAAAGCCAGAATCATATCATGAACAATTGTCATCTTAATTCACATATTCCAAGACTTCTTTGTTCTAAGATTCTTCAATGACTGATAAAAGATTGCATTGGACGTTTACAAAGCATGTGCTTCTTCTAAAGTTACGTCTAATTTTGTTGCATGCTAAAATAAACTGTGTTTGTAATGGGTAAATACTATTTGAGTGAAGTAGAGAAACTGTTATATGAGTATCAATAGAAGACACAAAAAGAGACAAGTGTGCATGGAAGAGACAGCAGACTCGGCAAACAATGTCGATCTTAGAAGCATATCTCCGCCAAAATCTATATAATAATAGCCTATCAACGCAAATCTTTTCCTCAAAGAGACTATATTGTTTAGCAAAGCAGTGGGGTGAATCGTAAGTGAAAATAATGAAACATATTTTATAATTGAGTATTAATAAACGAGGCACTTTAGGGTTGCTATGTAAATAAGAAAAAATAAAAGCTTGTTATTATTGGAAAAAACTGAGAAAATCCCTATTTCTGGCTGATCGAAAAACAGACGATTTCTTGACATAAAGTTTAGGTTATTGCTTTTAACTTTTTTATTCAAAGGAATTTGATTAGTTATGACACTGTTTCTTAAACTAATCAACAAAATTAATGATGACATTGTCAAAGTAATGCTGTTTATTTATAAAAGAAATAATTTCTAACTTCTAAGAGAAATTTTAGAAAAATGGTTTAACTGAACAATTTATGTACACATGTTGAAGATTAACTTTTGTATTACTATAGAATTCCAACAGAATTAAAAAAAAAAGTTTGAATTCCATCGAGAGTAATTTAAATAACTAAATTTACGAGAAGAGTACATATATGCAGAATCATTTCTGGATGTGATTTTAAATCTCTTTATCATAATTGCATTAAATCATTATTGTTTTTAAAATGTTTCAAATTTAATGAAACGTCTGTCTGTACAAAAAATAATAAGTTCTCACAATATGCAAAGAATATGACATGAAGTTATACTTCCGTTGAGTAGTTTTAGAAGAGGGAAAAAAATGCCAACAGAACAGTTCTATCAAAATGCATTTGTAATATTTTTTTTTATCAAAGACTGGCTCTACATGTATTTGAAATATTGAACATTTCATTAAATTAAGATAATGACGCAATGATGTCATAATGCATGGTCCCTTCTGAAATTACTTCACTTTTTTTGATTTTTTACTCATCAAATTTCATATTAGACTCTTTGTCTCGTAAAACTGAACAGTTTTAATTTTTCAGAAGTTTACAGTGCTAAGCAAGGCTCTAAAACAATATTAATTTTGCTTTGCTCATTTAACTTCTTAAGATGAATTAAAACAATGCGAAATGCCAATCATACATAAAAATATTCCTTATACCAATGTCAAACCATAAAAAATGCAGACATGTTATTAAATCATAAATTTTCATGTAATATTTATGCAATTATTTCCCTAAATCATTGTTACGTTTTTATGGTCATTGCTAAGCAGTATTGATTAAAATTGACCTCAGAAGTCCTTATTTTCTCCTTAATTGTTTTTCGTGCCTTAACGTAAAAAAGACTTATTAATTTTTAAATCTGTAATTATATATTTTCCACACAAAAAATCGACTCCTGACGTAGATTATGATAAAATGTACACAATTTCACATTGACGCTACAAATAACGATGTAATTTTTGTTTAGAAAAGAAAAAAAACACTTGTAAGTGCAATGTAATTAGATTGTGCCAAACATATTTATTCTTCAAACATTTGTGAACAGTCTGGAACGCACTTTCTTAATCAATTTAATTTTGACTGCAAAAGTTTGTCGATAACTTTTCTGAAAAATTACAAAATGATATTAGCTCCTTGTCTATCTTATGAAATGAAAACATCCTTATTGCTCTTTATAGACTACAAATTCCAAAGAATGGACGAATAACAAAAAGATTATGGCAAGCTTTGATTCTTACTCCAAATCTAACGACTACACCTATGATTGTTCTCAATGCATTTTAAGGGTTTATTCTGCGTTCACTATTTTGAAACTATTCTGAAAATGCTATTCATAAGAGTCAATCGATGTAAATTGCAAGTCTATCAGTGATATAAATGGACAAAAAATATTTTGCAACTTCGATAAAAAGGAACTTCATTCAATTTTTCTTCTACGTATTGCGATAAAAACCTATTTCACAGAGAGGGAAATTTCTGTCCATTTGAATCACTGATAGACTTGAAACTAACATCGATTGACTTTTATGAATATCATTATCTGAAGTCCAAATCAGTATTTAGCTTTTAAAACTGTGTAAAACATGGTTTGTAGAACGCTGCGTTATCATACAAATATTGTGCTATAATTAATAAAACTTGTGATTTTTATTCAAAATTTTGTAATTTTTATTCGAAAACTTGCTATTCATATTGATATAAATATATACAAAAGTTGTGATTTATATTCAATAATCTTGTCATTATAGAGAATATATAAGATTTTGCATGATAATCAAGGTTATTGCATAATAATCAGAAGATTGTCGAATATGAATCACTAGACTGTGTATGTTAATAGGTTTTTTAAATATATTATAACCTTTCAAAATTTGGCATATTAATCATAAGTTGATTAATATAAATAACTATTAATGAATATAACTCACAACATATAGAATTTGAATCACAACTTTATGAATACAAATATATTTTCAAATTTAAATCACAAGATTTTGCATATAAATCAAAAGGTATGCATACATGCCATAATGTAATTTTACAAGCCAAAGTATAATCCGTTCACGTATACTGTTTTGAGAGTGAAATTTATCTTTGTTATGAGAGAGAGCCAATGAACCTTAATCGAACAGTCTTAGAAATTACATTTTTTTCCTTTTCAAACATGCAGCATCATGCTTTGCTTTTTGTAAAAATAGATTTCGAATCCATTCAAACTATCAAACATATTCAGTTTACTTCTTTCACATAAACACATAGATCAAACGCTTTCATCGTCAGCCATTAAATGATTTCTAAATGCAAGCAAATTGTATGCATATGGCTTGCCAACATTGATGAAACTATAAAATAGTGACTTTACAGAACATTAAATATGTTAATTGCTCGAATCAGTTGCTTTATTCAAACATTTCAATCTCGCTAGCTATTGATCTATTATACAACTAATAAATTACTTCCTAAGCATTAAGTGACTATCAGACGTTTTTGTCATTAAATTTATTAATTAATGAAAAAGTTTTTCTAATTATTACAAAATTTAATAACCTCTCTCTCTCTCTCTCTTATTTATGTGGAATAAGAAGTAAATGTATTACTGAAAGGTTTATCATAAACCTTTGAAGACAACTTAATTAATGATTGAATATTATTTAAAAAAAATACTTTTCCTGTAACACTCCTTATAAAAAGCATCAAACAGACGTACAGTGCTTTTTATTTTAGTTTGTTTTTTCTTCCGTTTTATTTATTTATTTATTTTGCTATTCCATAAATGATAATAAAAAATAAGAGATAATTAAATAACTTCACGATTAGTTAGATTAAAAATGATCACAATCATAACAATTGAAAGATCAAGACACGTACATGTCAAAAACATTGATTTTTCTAAGTTAATCTACACACTAAGCAAATATGCGTGTGTGTACAACTGTATACTATTTCCATTACAAATTAATTGTTAAAACATCATTCAGGTATAATTGCATATAGGCAGTAAACGATCTGTCAACATCTATATCCATTTATCTAATGGACATTTGATGATATCAGTGTAGATAGGAAGACATACATTGCAAATATGACGCTTTTTAGTTCAGCTAAATGCCCCAACTGTAAGGGCAAACTATCAATTCTGGTTGCTCATGTAGTAAAGTATATTAGCGTAATTGATACAAGTCTGTAATAAAGACGTACGCATAATAGAAATTAAAAAAAATTAAGTATACTAAATTTTGTCTTGCTTCTTAATCATTTATATAAATTTGGCAAAAAGTGATGCCATATATAAATACAATGACTTATAACACCAAGCTCTTCAAATTTAAGATAACTTAAAAATAAATAATTTGAGTAAAAATTTTAAAATAAAAAAGTATCTGTTTCCCGGAGAATAAGTATTAAATAACTTTCCTTTTAGGACAGATTCAGATGAGTGAACAGATGAAAAAATGACTTGAAAAGTTTTGATCATTAGCACTATAACTTATTTCTGCTGGAAAACAACAGATCACAAAAATAAGAACAATATGTAACAGAGGACCAAGAGTTAAGAAATGTTGTCATCGATTACAACATTATAGAGTAGAAAACAATAAAATATCTTTTAGAAAGGAACGGACAGAATACATATTTAACTTTCCAAACCTCCCTCTTCACGCATATTTATTAGCTCTTTGTGATGCATTATGACAAGTCTATAAAATTATTGTGTTTTGACAATTCTGTAAAATTATTGTGTTTTAACAATTCTGTAAAATTATTGTTTGGACAAATTCTGTAAAATTATTGTTACTAGTTCACAAGAGCCACTCTTGTAACCAGTGTCATACTTGAAACATATTTTTATTGAATAATTCAGTAAGGATTGGAAAACAGACAAAGTCTATGCACACCCTCTCCTTGTTTAATAGGTCAAGACAAAGGCAATAAATAATAATACCTGTACATGATAATAAACATGCTAATAATTAAAAAAAATAAAAATCCACAATTAAGTATTATTCATCTGTATTATAAAAAAAGATGATGATCCTAACTGTATACAAATTATTTACACACTGCTCCAGCTTTAATATAAATATTGTAAAAAAAAAAAATTGTTCATTTAACAGACTATTAAATATTACAGCTTACTTAGTTTAGTCTCTTAGTGGATAAAAAATTCGTGTACATATGAAAATATTTTACAGTTTGTTTGATAGGAATATTGATATTTTCTTCTTAACAGAGTGTCGAGTTCAAAAACAACATCAATATCATTTAATTTGTTTTTAACAGTAAATTTCTTTCAACAGT